ACCCTGTTAATTCTATGATTCTATGACACTTCTGGAAAAGTGGCTTCACAGCTATGGTCTCCTTGTAGCCCCATTTGCTTTAAGCTGTAATTCAAAACCATTGCTTTCCTTTTATTTTTCACTTTTTTTGCCTTGCAAGTTGAGGGTTTGTTCTATACAAACAAATCTTAATTATTTTAGCTGCAGAAGGGTTTCTAAAATATTGACCACTTAAGTACAGAAGTACAATCTGGTTTTGATTATAGCTTCAGTGAGTTTATTTCTTTTGCTGCAACTGTAAACTGACATGGAGGTGTTAAGTTACAAAACCGTGTGTGTTTCTACTAAATGGAGCTTTTAAAGTCAAGTCTGTAGTTCTGGATGGCAACGTTGAAAGATTAGGGAACAAAGAAAATAGAGGAATTAGGTGAATGTGCAAATCAATTCTTTTTTTCTATATAATGTGGAAAAGTTTCAGGGCAACACCATTGGTCAGTGACTTCTGCTAGCTGAGAAGTGCAAATACGTTTGGAAAGTTGCTTATTGAAGCTATTATGATCTTGCTTGTTTCAGAGGCTGGGACTTTATCCCATTTTTGGGACACTTAGACACTGTCAGTCTGAGGGGCAAAGTGCCCATGCTCCCCCTGCCTTCCCCCTCCCCTGGCAGCAGTGCTGAGCACAGCTTCTGGAAGGAGTTGGTGCTCTGGCTTAGCTCACACTGTCAGAAAGGCTGTTTGAAACATCTTGAATTCAGTCTCCTGAAAATGGGTACCAATTTTCCTTCCTTGAAAGGTGTATTATGTTGCTTCTACCTAGCACACGGTGTCTTGTGTTTTCCCTTCTAATATAACAAAATTGTGACTGTCACTGTGAAATTCAAGCTCTGCAAGCTTTCTCTGATTGCATCACTGATATCATGACAGAAGTCCTCATATTATCTTCTTGTAATGTTTTAAGCTTTGATATGATTATTTGGAAGCAATGTGAAGTGTACTTCTGTGGGGAAAATTTGCAAATAGAATCAAACAAGTTGCTTGTTTGTTTTTTTTTTCTAGATCAACGTTCTTCAGTCTAAAAGGAGAGCAGAAATCTTAAAATCGGTAAGATATACTTCATTTTCTTTCTATGAAATGTTTAAATACATCTGAAATAAAAAAGGGGTCACTAAGCAGCATGTTAAAAATTTAGTGCTTTTACCCATCAAAACACTATCAGTACTTCTGGCACTTTGGTGGCAGTCAGTTTGGCCTTTACTGGAACTGTAGATAGTTTAACTGGTTTTGACAATCCTTTTGGTGCTGATTTGGGCACTTTCAGGTTTTCACTGCTGTTGATTCTTTGGTATGTCACACGGTTAAAATCAAACTTTGTCAAGAATTCTGCTCTTTGGGTCTGGTATATTACTTCATAAACAATAAGTGCTACTTATAATCGATTCTAAGATGGATCCAGATATTTCTGAAAAAAGGTAATTTTTTATGTAAATAGTTTGGTATTTGCTAAATTAATACATAGCTATATCTGCAGGCTAGTCTTCTTCTTGTGTTCCCCTTTCTGCTTCACATTATCTCTGGATAAAGTTTATTGAGGTAGAGGCATATTAAATGTTGCTTTCCTTTCAAATCTCTCAAGTTGTCCTCTCATAATGTCCTTAATTTATTTAGTTGGGTCAGTTTGTAGCTGCTTTCCATTCTGTTCTGCACCTTCCCACCCTGTTTTCTGTTTCAAGACTGGACACTCTCTTCAGCTATGTTAACGAAGTATTTAGTTTTGGGTCATGAATAAAATATCTTGTAGCCCCTCTCTAGCTTACATGTCCCAATTAAACAGGAGAGAGCAAAATATTTTGGGTGACATAAATTAGAAGTAATTTTCTACCCTTAAGTAGATTTCTTTTGTTTTGCTCATGGGGTTAATCCTATCAATTGATTTCTGAGATTTTTGGCTTGGTTCTTTGCTGCCTTTACCTTGCACATTTACTTAGAACATTGGAACCTCAGTGAGGTGTTGATGTAAAATTACCAGGAGCAGAAATGAGAATTGTATTTGAAGTTTGTTCACGTGGATTATTTATGTAATATATTTGCGTGATATCTGATATATTTTTTAAAAGAATAAATATTTCCTTTTTTCCTCCTAGATGTTATCATTTATATATGCACATCTGGCTTTTTTCCATCAAGGCTATGACCTGTTCACTGAACTTGAGCCCTACATGAAAGATCTTGGTGCACAGGTAACAAATTATCTTAAAAATTCATGACTGTATGCTGGGGTGGATGAAAACTTGATATATGCCTACATATCAGGTACATCCTGGGTTTGTTCAGCAAAAAGGGAGCTATAGTGTGATAAAGGCAAAGCACAGAAATATGCTGTAAGTGGCTTGAATGAACATAGTTACAAGCTGAAAATTTTGTGTTTATCAAAATTAGTACTGCCTTTAGGATTTATATACTTAAACATAGCCATGTAGTGCTTTTTGAGGTTCTCTGTGGTACTCAGAACACTGGATTGCTTCTTTTTAAAAATTTTTGTATATGACCCATGTTATAAATATATTTAACAATAAAAAGTAGATGAGGGTGGGTTTCCTTCTACTCATGGACATTATTTACTGTATAAGTTATGCAGTGTGAGAATTAAACTTTGTGTGCAAAAATAACTTTGGTGTTGGCAACTTAGGCCATAAAACAGAAGTGTGATTTTAATAAGTAGTGCAAAATTGAGTTCATGCATGGAATCCTTCTTGCCCAGTTTTCTGGTTAAGAACACACAGTTGCAACTTTTGGGGTTTTGGTGAAGTTAGATGGAGCAGTGCCAACTGCACACAGGAGATGTTGAAAATGCTTGTGCAAATTTGATTAAGAACATACAATATTCAAATGAAGATCTGTCTGTGGTGCAGGAAGGAGACTCAACAGTGTCTTGACTTGTTTTCAGTGCAAGGTGAATGGGCCTGAAAATACTCTTACAGCAGCTTTTATTTGTCACTATCCGAGAACTTGGAACAACTGCAGATACAAATCCAACTATTGCCACTTCCCAACCAGATCCAGACAGCAGCCAACCCACATTCTAGGTGTCCATCCAGGTACAGAAGCAAGTAAATGGCAGCAAACCTTTACTTCCATTCATCTCGAGTAGATATGTCACTGAACGTGTAAGAAATGACATTGTTCTGAGCTGGTTATTCCTGCCACTGCTGCTGTCATCTGTGCCCATCAGCATGTGTCTGTGTCTGTGCAGTGAAGCACATGAGAACTGTAGAAAATAACTCCAGCAATCCAATGCTTTAATAGTTGTGTTTATTGTAGATTAGTCCCCAGTCAGGTTACTGTAGGTCTTAATTACTTGTAGAAACAGACATCAGTGTTCGGTGGCACTGGAGCAGTTCAGGTGCACATGACACTTCCTTAGTTGTGCTTTTTATTCTTTCACATCCTTCCATTTTGGGTTGTAATTGTTAAACTGTAGTGTTTTGGTGGTATAAAATGTGTGTCCTG